TCTGCTGCTTCAGACTAACACGGCTACCCACCTGAAGGTGCTACTGTGGAAAGGTGCTCAGTGACTGGAGACTAAGCCACATGTGACTGGTGCTTTTGGAAAGCTAGAAAGAATGGTCCTGACTTTGAGGACAACATCATAAATGCATTCTTACAACACTATACTTTGCTACAGAAAGAAAGATATCGGGAGACCAATTCTACTTGGTCAAGGAAAGCATTTCTACAAATAAATGATGATGTGACAGTTCAGTAAAAAGACAACCCACATATATGAAAATGTGCATTCAGTATGCTCCTGAAATTGGTCTGAAAAAGTAATCCTACCTCAAACAGCCAATGTGGGTTATGTTAAGTAAGTTGTTTCAGGGCCAAAAGCATCCCATGGACACTTGCACCAGTTGGCATACAGATAATAAAGAAGTTAGCAACAGATGTGAGAATCAAGTTTGAGTCCAGTAGCCTCTACAAGGCCCACAAAGGCTCCCTGATGCCCACCCTCCCACTTCCACCGCTCATTACCCATTAGCACTGGGACAGTATACAGGGCCATAATGCCCAGCCTCTGTCATCTGGCAATAAAGGTAATGACAATAAAGCTCATGGCCTGGATAAGAGCCCTGTACAGGCCAGTTCCAGCCCATGGGCCATATGTTTGACACCTCTGATGTAATCCATACACATACACAGGTCTCTGCTCAGGGAGAAAAGCAGGATTTTTTAAAAAAAAAGTATAAATGAGCATATATCTTTTTTAAAAAATAGTTTATGCACACCTCTAAAAAAGGTCACTAAATCTGATGGTTTAACATTTCTTCTAAGTAAAGCCTATTTCTGCAGTAAGCCAGACAGAACAAAAAATAGGGGGTGGGATGCACAAACTCATTTGAAATCAACAGCAATGTGTAAATTACTAGTTAATCCAACAGTCTATATTAGGAAGACAGAACACTTTACATCTGAAAAGACTACGTGTTAGCTGTCAGTATAGTTCTAACTAGTCAGGATTATTCACCATAGCAGAATGGATTTGATAGAGATGTTTTGTTAAGAATATAGAAGGCAGGATGTCAGATGTAAGAACTGATTTGCGTTCTCCCCAGATTGCTTAACATCATATCGCGCACACACCACACATACAGTCTTTCCTTTGCGCTTCTGTGAAGGAGAGAATGAGCAAATTACTGTCCCAGCTTGTCTCTGGGGACAGCTTTTCTTC